CCGTTAAAATGATCAGCTATTGTGCTACCGCAGCAAACGACGTGTGATAGCCGCCTGCGCATGCCACACACCTGTCGCAGTCTATTCACATGAAACAAATAGCAAAATGACGGGTTTGCGCATTAAGAGACCACAACCGTTTGATTATCAGTTTGGTTGCGGAGCTAGTTATCTCATCAGTTCTCCAGTCCACTGCCTAGCCAGTCGTAGTAATTTAAAATGGGTTTGGACACTACCTGATGTGATATGATCCTCCGTCACACTCCTTCGCGATCCTCGTTGCGATAAAATCTGCCTTGAGGGGTATAGGTAATTTACGTGCAGTCGATGATGATAGTGAGGTTCGCGGCATTAGTCTCTCTCGTGTTCCTCTTCTGTCTTCAATTTTCCGTTGTGTACACAAAGGTCAAACTGAGTCAAGCCGACTTCGGGAGATTTTTCGCGCGGGGCTGAATCGACACAGAATCACTGTTTTTTTGTGCCGCATACCTGTTGGTCTTGCACGCCAATCGAATTAGACTTTCATCACACAGGTTTTTCATAAACATCATCTCAACCTTCAATAATAACTCTGGAGGACCAATTTGGCTTTTAGCACGTCATTATTTTGTGTGTATCTGGTTTATTAGATTATGACACGTAGGGTTGAGATCGAATTCACTCTAGTTCTGTTCCACTCACGCACCACTGGCAAGTCTAACGTAGGCGGACTGTAGATAAAATCAGACTCAGATTGCAGATGTCGCAGAAACTCTCCGTCTGGCCTGTGGCCTTTTCGTAAGTAGCCTGTTGTCTCAAAAGCGCATACAAATCTTGCAATTTTAAGTCTACTAAGCAAACAACTCCATGGCATGAGATACATTTACTGGAGGCTTCGGAACCCTCTCGTCAGAGACTGGTAGTTCAATTATGCTGCCACCATTGTAAGGGATCCAGTTGCGACGCCTCACAGCAGCTTGTTTCTGCTGGCTGTCAACGCATGCTTCCAGTCTTTGCTATTTGCCCAATCTTCTGATCTCCTATCAGGTATAAAACCGTGTAAACTCTACAACGCCAGTGGTACACTGGGTTTGCCGATCTCTAATGAATGAGCTTATAAATCAGTCTGTTGAATGTCAGTCTGTGTGTTGCGCTTGTTGGCATAAGCCAAACGGTCTCCACTATCGAACCCTCTGAACGCCAAATTTTATCGCTGCCATAAGACGGCCGCAATCTATGCGCCTTCCTTTCAGCTGCTGACTCGCGTTTACGGCCTTGTTTTACCTCTACTTATTTTCGGGCTTTTCATACCGCTGATGCTGATACTCCGTTCGAATCACATTTGTAATTCGGTTGGCAAGTGCCTACGCTTGACGATAAATCTGTCTCAAGTTTTGTCGGATCCATTCCACAGTTCGTTGTATTTAAAAGTTTTATGCGAACTGACAGGCTGGATGTCACATGCCATCTGAGCACATGTCTTGGAAAAAGAGGCACACCCAAGTCAAGTCAACCTTCTGGTGACCAGATGGCCTGCGAATACGGCTGCGTTAGAATCGTCCTGCGACATCCAAGCGTGTGTGGCTGGAAGGAACATCACATCTGCGTATTAGCAAATGCTGCCAAAATATTGACGCTTATTGGCTTTCGTACAGCCAATCAGAGCTGCAGCTGGTGTGTATACGCTAACATCAACACCGAAACACCACCAGCAGCCTTTTCAGCTGCCGTAATTACGACACAAGCATCAAATTAGGTCTGTTGGAATGTTATTCAGTCTTTCCGGAATGAGTATTGCTTGTAATAAATCGATCCCGCCCACAGCAGTTAAAGTTAAATGCGTACACACTAATTGGTGGCCTACCAGTTTCACTATTAGATTTTTGCAGTTACTTGGCTTGTTACCTCTGTCGGAAACCTAGTTTCTAATGGTCAAAGATTAAGAAAAAAAACTATTTTCTGTTGCTTGTGTTTTAAAACCTCCGGCGTAATAATGCCGACAATAAATGTTTGTGTTGATAGCCGTACAAGCAGCTGCATGATCCTATTGAAAAGTACACCGTCTTCCAAAACTGTTTAATGTTTTATGTTCCTCACTTTTATAGACGGATTTATGAGTGTGAATTGATGTCATGTCATGGAGTTATTTGCTTAGTAGACTTAAAATTAGAAAATTTGCATGCGCTTTTGAGACACCACGCTACGCATGAAAAGGCCGCAGGCTAGACGGAATGTTTCTGTGACATCTGCAATCTGAGCCTGATTTTATCTACAGTCTGCCTTAATTAGCTTTACCAATGGTGCGTGATTGGAACAGAATGAGAGTGAAGTCGATCTCAATCTAATCAACCAGGTACACAAAATAATGACGCGCTAAAGTCAAATTAGTCCTTCAGAGTTGTGACTAGGTTGAAATGACGTCTGTGTGATAAAAGTCTACTTTCACCGATGAAATTTCTCCTGACCGCTAACGGAACTCATCTGTCCCGCTCTGTCTAGGGTCTTCACAGAGGCCCTGACAGCCGTCGCAGCTGGTAGTGTAGGCAGATAGTATTGCCAGCAAAGACAATTGAGGCTGGCATGGCCATTTCTGGCTTATTAGCCGTCGTCAGCCAGTCATACTCAGACCGACGTGGCGTCCCACACGAGACTTCAGGCAGAATGGGACAGATGAGTTCCGTTAGTAGCGGTCGAGTGAACGTTCATTAGAGTGTCAAGATCCCTCCACCTAAGCCTGCAAGGCAACGAGCTCGTGGCTTAATGTTTAGGGCGTTTGACTCTGATCAAAGAGGTCGCGAGTTTGAGGCTAATGCATTTGCCTCGAACTCTTAGCTCAAGTTGACATTTCTCATTGAAAGATCCAACAAGAAGTTAGTTCCAGAGAAATTGTCGAGCCATTCAAGAAGTTTGCGATACTTACAACTGAAATAAATGGTCCGTTTTATCTTTTTGCGTCTTGTAGATTTCACCCGACAGAGCAAGATAGCCACTTCTTAGAGCTAGATAGAATTTAGTTAATTTGGCTGGCGCATTGCAAACCGTTGGCTTCTAGTCACTTCGATTAACAAAATATCTAATCCATACTGAGGCCAGTAAGACGTGTTTATAAACAGTCTTGAGTCTAAGAATTCGAGTAACGCCGCCTGGGTCGTTGACTCTTTTTTGAGGGAGAAACCTTTATAGTACACTTTTTAGTAGGCGTCAGTCTCTTTGTTATTGTCCAATATCACGGCTAGTGCCAACTATCTACACCCTGAACAGTCTTGACTGACGCTTAGCGAATCTCCAAGTGTGTTGTCTGATTTGGGAAGTTATTATGTAAATTTATAGTTGCAAACATTTGTGCCCGCGATTGAGGTTTCAGTGCTATGCGGAGGTCCTGGTCCCCTAAATGGTCGGCGTGGTGGATGTGCTGGACCAATACTGGAGGTAGATCAGGGCACGGTAGGCGTTATCCGGGTTTTGATCCATTTACAAATGCCGAACATGGAGGAGGGAGGGAGGGTGTTGGTAGCACACGCAGGTGCAGGTTCAAGCATCAGCCATCCGTTGTCTGTATGGCCTTCTTTCTTGTACTTGCACTTGATCCGATTAGCTTCTGTTGTTGGATGAAACGGCTTCACGGATATCACGGATAGCGGCGGCTCATTGACGGCGATTGGAAGCGAGCTCCTCGTAGGTGTGAACCCAGTGCTTATTCTATTGTCGCAAGCCTTAAACGGTTACGACGCCCATGCGTTTGACGTCAGGCTTGGCAGTGTTGGGCCACGTCTTCAGCTGACCGCCATGTCGGTATCTCCAGTTTGCACTACGAGGGGAGTTAACGACCGCAGAGGTTCGTCGATGGCTTGTGCAGGACCTGACCAAACCATTGTAATCGGCGATTCTGAATGTATGATACTTGACTTGGAAGTTTGAAATACCTGCGATATAGCTCCACATTGGAAATTCGATCCCGCCAGGAGACTCTTAGGAGGCGTCGAAGATATCAACCGTCAAAGACTTATATAATAATAATAATTTGTATATTTAAGGCCCAAGGGGCCCTGTCGTTACTTCGAGAAATAGAATGTCTGCCTTTCTCACTGGCCATGTTTCGCAGGCGTACACTACCACCGGTCGGATAAATGTTCTGTATATCAACAGCTTAGTACGTAAGCTGATGTCTGAGCGAGATCAGACTGGTCTGGCTAGCAGCCTAAATACATTTTAAGCCTGCGCGATTTGGTTCCTGATTTCTTCTTTGGCCTGTACGTTGGCTAGTACATTGGAGTCGAAATAACGGAAACAGCTTACTTCTTAGATGGGTTGACCACTGATAAACAGTGGCTGTGCTGTGCTGTGCCAAGATGCGTAGTCAAGAGCTTAGTCTTGCGTATAATGATCGTCAGATCAACAGTTGCAGCGAAGTTGGTGACTCGGTCTACCGTTGACTATAGTGACTGGGGGGTATTACCAAGTACGACAATGTCATCGGCATACTTCAAATCAGGAACTCTGAATTCAGGGTTCATTACACATCCACTATCAGGTTGCATTAGTTGATACATCACGCAGTCGATCAAGAAGTTGAAGAGAACTGGAGAAGGAGGACATCCTTGTTGAACTCCACAAGTAAATGGGAAAGAATCTGACTCTTCACCAAGGGCTCTTAATCGGCCTTCCCAATCCGTGCGATCTGAATCAGGCTTGGTTGCGGTTTCGGCTACGCCTTCAAGCTGCTCCCGATTCCGTCCCCGCTCTTCCTGGCTCTGTCTTGACACCGGGCGCAGGCGAGTAAGGGGAATAGAGCTTGCGATGGATGCACCTCACGTCAGTTTAAACTAATCCACGCGTATGTCGCTGTCCCTGCGTCGATACACACTGGAGCCTATTATGGACATCATTGGAATCGACGGTCGAACTGTCATGGTGCAGAGGTCAGCCAGGCTATCCATTCACCTGAGAAGAAGACGACTCAATCGCTGGGACAATTCACCTGAAGTTTCGAGATTCGTCGCGGATTCATCATCAGAAACCTAATAATCTGCTACTGCTATCCATTCATCTATCAGCCTTACACCGCCCGGAGTAAAGGTAGGCGCGTGCTCTGAGGCTGGACGCATACTGACCTCGCGCAATCACAAATAGACATGTGATACAGCCTTGACCTCTCTGCTTCCTGGAGCTTAAAAAAGCTGAGCATCAATGCGGAGAAGACGGAGTTCGTGCACCAACCGGTGTCAACCGAAGGACACAGCCAATCCATGTTGACTGTTAACGAAAATCGTCTTGTGACTTTGCGAAACTAATCAGCTGCTGGGGTCTCGTCATACGCACACTCCTCAGGGAATCAGACAGCTGAAATACCCTTTTCGAAAACTGTCTAATTGACTGATTCTGTACGCCCAGGTCCTGGAAACCACGGCCGTGTGACTTCTGTGGTTCCAGTGGTATGTCTAGTGGATTTAATACTTGGTGTAGCATCTAGTAAGCGGGGGTTCGTACAGTCTGCTCTCTTCCATCAATCACACCGTTACGTCATTTACCCGAAAATTTATTTGACCTTCATCTTCTCTGACGTCCCTGAATCCTTGAATTGTTTTAGAGTTGCAAAAATGCCCATCAAAGAATACAGAAGACTAGTTTGGCGAGTACACGTATACTTTGAACTTGTACTCAGTTTCCATATCAATGTAAGGCCTGAAGAGAATTTGTCGAAATTGTACGTGTGCTCGCCAAACTAGTTAGGGCCGTTTCTCCCGCTTGCGATATCCTCTCAAGTTGTTATATTGACTGGGTTTCTACGACCGTGAATGCGTGTATAAAAAATCCCCACTAAAACCATTTATACTTTACACAAAATCATCCAACGAGAGCTGTTAGCGTCGTTACTGACGAGTGGCGTGTCGTATTTAGGCGGGTTTACGTATGACATGCGTTAGACGATGGCTTCGCGCTACCTCATCCACGATATTAAACCATCTCTCCGGCCGGCTTTATTCAGACTTCTCGCCAGCACAGGATAGAAGGAAGATTATGAGCTTACTATAAGAAGATGCAAACGCACTTGCCAGTATGCCACAATCACGACAACGCTCCTTGTTTTCCAACCCGCTATCTGGCCCGTCCTTCTTTATGGCAGAGAACAAAGGGTCTTACCAGTAGCAGACGGACAAAGGCCTACAGATTTTCAGCTTCCTTTGCTTGAGGCTGATCCACCTAGCTAAATATACACTGATCTCACCCGCAATCTCATATTAACTGGCCTCGAGCATAGGACTTACATATGCGAAATTCTTCAGGGGGAAAACTGAATGCCACGAATTCAAGAACCACTCTATTTATCTACAGATTGTGTTCAGCCAGATATCGAATTCACCTGTCCGTTGCCTCCGTCCAGACGGTGACGATGGCGGACGACAGTGGCACTGAATGCATCTGGGAATCACGAATAAGGTGTCCAACCCATTCCAGTTGTAATTCCTCGATAACCTTAAGCCAACATATTGTTGTCTTAAAAATCATGGACTATTTCCGAAGCTGGTATACTCAGTCGGAAAACGCCTACAGGCATATCTACGTGGTTATTGAGAGAGAGCTCTCTAGATGTCTTCGGAGGCTTGCGTATAGCACCGATTGGGGATGGACGCCTTCACTCCTTTGTACTTCCAAAGTCCCCAACCCTAAGATACTTGAAACTCTCCGCTTCCTAGAACTGACAACCCCTGAAGGCGGATGGGTACCTTTGCGTGTTCGAAGATGGAGCGTTTAAGATTAAACCGACTGGTTTGCGTACCCCTTTCCGCGACACCTCACAGTCTGCAGTCTATCATAGCCTAATGCCAGTGAGATGCTATTGTCAGCGTGGTCGAACCTAGTAAGCCTGTTACCGGAAGCAAACGCATTTGCATATATATGATATTCTAACTGCAGCGAGCGACGACGACGTCCCACCAACGAGCTTGGCATAGAAGGCGGCTTGGCCGAGAATTCGTTTATAGTGGAGCATACTTACGTACTTATCTCTCTCTCTCGCCTATGCTGCGTAGACAAACAAACAAAGTCAAGACGACCGGAGGTGGACGCCGATGCAGTGGCTGAAAAGGCTATGTGACTCATCTGCATGTGGTACCCAGGACCTGATCTCAAATCCGTACGTTCGAGACTACAGTGCCGGGGCGTCTCGCATAGCCGAAACATACCATAAAGGCCACCTGAAGAAGAAACTATTACAGTCTGAATGTTAGTCCTGAGAGAGGGACCGAGTAACCTTGTCATTTGGTAGCCTTCCCAACCGTGATTACGGGTTGTGGCAGAGGCAGTTAAAAATTTTCTGTACTGGCGCTTTCCGATCGGTTACGGGACTCGTCCCGTTCTGTTTTGGGACTCACTTCACAGCCCGTCGCTTAATGGGTTCGAGCGTTGAACGAGGGAATAAGTGAGGTAGAAGGTCATAGAATACTCAAGGTTTAAAGTTCTACATGATATCCACATCTGGTATGGAGGCAGGTCGGATTTCAGCCTCTGAATTTTCGTTTCTTCACACGTGAGATAGCGTGTGGAGGAATGGGAGTATAGAGTGCTGCTACGCTGGTGTACGGCAAGACAATTCGTCGAAGAAGAAGAAGAAGAAGAAGAAGAAGAAGAAGAAGAAGAAGAAGAATGCTATATTGAGGATTTTAAAACCTGAATTTTCAGCAAAAATGGCTCCATTCACGGAGAGCAGATGGTAAGGCAAATAAAGGGTCATTTTAAAAGGTCAAAGGTAAAAGGATCATGTAATACTTCACGACATCCATCATCTATGGAGACAGATCGGCTTTCAACTTCTCCATTTCCGCTTCTTCAGACGTGAGGTAGCGTGCTAGAAATGGGAGTACCGAGTACATACGACGGAAGCTTCGGCGTATGATACGGGAAGACTTCACAGCCATTAGTTCAGTGTGGAAAGGGTGAAGAGAACATCCGGAGGGTACGTTTTAAAATGATCAAGTCTTTTTTTAAGTAAAGCTAGAAAAATAACTGAAGAGAGCAGTAAAACGTGAGGGAGAGAATGCAGGCATCTATAAATCGCCGGATTAGGGCTGGCTGTGTGCGATATGAACGCCAGCAGCGGATGTAATATAAGAGTAAACAGATTTTAATTAGCTGGCAAGCGGGCAACCATCCTCGATAAAGGAGCAGTCAATTGCCATAGATATGCAGTTGCATAGCGACTGCAACTCCTGTGTACGAAGTACCCATTTATGCTACTGTCTACGCTGATACATTCAAGAGGAAATCCGAACCGTCAGGCGAATAAAGTTCTTGTCCCAGCGATCGTGTGTTTACTTCTTCATCTCAGTCCATGTGTTGCCTAAGAAAAAAAGCACACATTTAAAAATGCTCATAACGGATCATGCATAACCTTGCACCAAATCGAAGCCAGTCTTCAACCACAATCATTCCATTCTTTTGGAAGTGAGCTCTTACAATTAGACTACTGCTACTGCTGGAGTCGTTGTGGTCTGCTTCGTTCAAACTGCCAAAACAACCGTAGTATCTCTTTCATTAACCACTTTTCGCATTTTGTAGGTGCCCACTAGTGACCTTCGTGACCTGTCTTCTGACAGGCGCCGTCTTGAGCGTCTCCTGATCTATGTGGTTGAGAAGTGTCTCCTTGCGAGTGATGTCCAGGAACTGCTGGCCTTGCCACTGGGACAGACTTTACAGTATCTGCAGATGACAAGATGCCAAACTGAAGGTCCGCCCGTCTACGATACCACTCTTCGATTCACTCTCTCCGCCCTTTGGAACCTCACCGACGAGTGCCCCGACGCCTGTCAGGGCTTCGTCGAAGTCGGTGGACTGTACGTGTACGCCAAGGTGCTAAAGGTGGGTTTCTCCTTCGTCACAGCTAGTGAACATCCCTCTATACGCTATTGTCGGCAAAGTCCCTTGGCTGTTCCACTTCCGTCCCTGAACAGTATTTTCTTTTTGTGAGATTCGTAGTTGACTCACTTTAGGCACTTTTTTATCAGCTACGCCCGTTAACTTGGCATGGAGGCACTGGCAGTGGAGAGACGAAAAAAAATTGTCGTAGGAATGGCGTTTAAGGATTGGGTCAATGTACCTACTCGTCCCAGTAGAGCCTTCGCGAGGGGCCGCATAACGACTAGCACTATATGTAGGGGAATGAGAACGCTCGGCTCACTTTAAATAGCTCGTCTTGCGATAAATTTAAGGAAGGTTAAATATCCGTGTTGTCCTAACTCTAACATAAATCTAAACTTGAACATTAATCTTAACCCCCAGCCCTGCTCTAAACGTAAACTCTACCGTAAACACGAACCCAAAGCTTAGTTGTTAACTTACTCTTGGCCGTAACCCCAACCTTAAACCTAAATTTAACGTAAACTTTATCCTTAGCTTATTTTCTCTGGAGTTTTGCGCAAAATGATATATATTGTGGGCGGTTCTAGTTGCTGTGTCCTATTTGTTTGACCATACCAGTCATCCTTGCCAGTTCCATTAAAAAATTACACGGTATAGCCTTTTCTGTGAGGAGAAACCTTGGTAGACAGTGCACGCGAGATTTGCTTTGATGACAGACTGGTTGCTTAGCTGTTCTATGTTGCTAAGTTAACGTATAAACGGACTCATTGGTGAACGTTCACCCGACCGCTAACGGAACTCATCTGCCCCCTCTGTCTCGGTTCTCTACAGAGGCCTTGACAACCATAGCACCTGGTAGTATAGGCAGATTGTATTGCCGGCAAAGACAAGGAAGACTGGGATAGCCATTTCTGGCTCATTAGCCGTCCTCAGCCGGTCATACCCAGACCCAAATGGCTTCCCATCCGAGCCTCGAGCTCGCGACCTCTTAGATCAGAGTCAAACACCCTAACCACTGAGCCGCGTGTTCGTTGTCTTGCCGTTTTAGGTCGAGGAATATTGACAGTCATTGATGAACGTCCACCCGACTG